GCTCGGGAGTGAGGGACGTTTGTGTCTGTTTGTGCGTGTCTTGTTCGTGTTTTCTTTGGGGAGAGAGAGAGGGAGGAGGAATGGGAGTTGGAGGGCGAGAGAGAGAGAGATAGAGAAATAGAGAGATAGATAGAGAGAGAGAGAGGAAGAGAAAGAATGAGAGAGAGAGAAGGAATGATGGAAATCTAAAAAAATAATAATAATAACATAAAATAAGATATCGAATAATAGGAAGGGGCAGTGTTATCACAAGGTCATCCTGTCCAGCGCACTCCTCTTTTTCCTCCTGCTTTTCTTCCTCCTTTCTGATCCTCCACCTCCTCGTCTCCATCTGCGCCTCCTCCTTCACCACCTCCATCTCGCTGTCCTCTTCCTCTTCAACCACCTTTCCCACCCCTCCTCCTCCTCCTCCTCCTCCTCCTCCTCCTCCTCCTCCTCCTCCCCCCTTCCTCCTCCTCCCCCCTTCCTCCTCCTCCCCCCTTCCTCCTCCTCCCCCCTTCCTCCTCCTCCTCCTCCCCCCTTCCTCCTCCTCCTCCTCCCCCCTTCCTCCTCCTCCTCCCCCTTCCTCCTCCTCCCCCCCCTTCCTCCTCCCCCCCTTCCTCCTCCTCCCCCCCTTCCTCTTCCTCCCCCCCTTCCTCCTCCTCCTCCCTCCTCCTCCCCCTTCCTCCTCCCGTCCTCCTCCTCCTCTTCCTCCCCCTCCTTCTCTTCCTCCTCCTCCTCCTCCTCCTCCTCCTCCTCCTCCGCCCGTAAGTCCCCTTCGCATAATCAGGTGATGAACCTTAAAGCCGCCCAGGTTCGTCAGCAGCGTCGAGGTGAGTGCCAGGTTCTGTGCATGCTGTGTGGTGATGGTGAGGGAGGACCCGGGTGCTCGACGCTCTCGTTTGAGGGAGAAAGGTAGGTGTGTTTCCTTTAATTCTATATTTATATGAATATTCATGAGTTTTTTTTTATATATATATATAGAAAAGAATAAGACTTATGAAAAGAAAATAATTATATAAAACACTATTTTTTTGTATATATCAGTATAAAAACAAAAAAAATGTAAAAAAAATGGCGTAACACAAAATATCCACATGTGATTATAAAGAAGAAAAAAAATAATAACCGGGAAGAGTATAGAATTTGAAGAAGCGCGGAATTGGCACAAGGAGAAGAGAGGAAGGAGAAAAAAGGATAAGCAGAAGGAGTAGAAAGGGGACAAAAAAAGAGAGAAAAAGACGAGAGAATTGTCCTCCTTCTAGCTGAGGCAGTCGACGCTTCCCCGTTGACCGCTCCGCCGCATGGTTGCTTCTGCCTCGTCTCCCTCTTTATTATCACTCTCCCTCTCCTTTCATTTGCGCGCGCGTGTGTGTGATTTGTCTGAGAATGGGATTTATTTAATCTTCTCTTGTTTTGATTTCTCTTTTTTATTTCTTGATCTATTATTTTTTCTTTCTTTTATATATATATCTTGGTCTATGTTGTGGCATTGTTGGATATTCCTTCTCCCTGTTTCCTTAGAATTTACTTTTTTCTTCTTAATTTTGCTCCTTGATATTTTCAATCTCGTGCACATCGCTGTATTTTTCTTTTTTCTTTTTTTATTCAGCCAATCAACTTTTATCACTTCCTTGCACCTCCCACTTCTTGCCGTTTTCTTTATATCATGTTATTTGCCGTTTTCTTTATATCATGTTATTCGCACAATCGTAGCTCCGAATAATAGAACCGCAAGTGCAAAAGGCCGTGCAAGGTATGTGGGCTCGGCGCCGGCGCGTGAACGGGCGGCAGGGTTGTCTGAGGCGGCGGAAGTAGTCGAGCGGCAGGGTGGTTCGTGGTGGCGAAAGTAGTCGAGCGTGGCGCCTGTTCCTGCTCCGCTCCGCTGGATCGCCCTCGCTCGTTACGCCTCCAAAATATATATAAAAAAAAAAAAAAAAAAAAAAAAACGTAAAAAAGATCAAGAATATACAAAAATGTGTCAGAAGTGAAATCAGTAAAGAGTTTGAGTTTAGTTTTGTTCTTGGGATTTTGTTTTGAGATAGAATTCAGATGACTTTTCTTGCTTTCTCATTTTTTTATGATAAACAATACAATGAACCGCGTGCTTAACAACCCTGCCCTGCCATGCACCGGACACTCCACCGTGACCATGCACGCTGCTCGGACGTGCATGACCTGAAGCTAACCAGAACCAGCGGTCTTGAGAAAACCTAAGAAAAGGTTGCACTTCCCTTCGGCTAAAAGTTACTCAGATCCTAGAAATTATTTTTAAGAGGGGGAGTTATACCGTTTTCGTTGTCATTAGGTTTAGTGATTTTTTTACACCGTTTTCTATGATGGCTTTAGTTATATCGTAAAATCATTTTCATTGGTGATGATATTAGCAATGTTGCGCTACCGTTTTTTTTTTTTGACAGTTTTGGAAATATTGTAAAAAAAATTTCTTTACTGACAGTTTTTGCAATATATCACCATTTTTTTCTCTCTCCAAATGTAATCACAACAGAAAACGGGAAGTATGGCCGATTTCTGCAATGGCTTCTGCGTCTCTTTTATTGGCTGCCTGTCACCGAAAGCTTGTCACGCCAGTCTGTTTTTCTTTTCTCTCATTTCCTTCTACAGTGGCAGCATGCGATCATGTCACCCTCTTGAAGTGATAACCTGAGAGATGTGGGACCCTGAGATGTTAGTGTTGTCTGTACCATGTTTTTTTTTCATTAATTTTTCATTATGTTTATATTCATATTTTATATATATAACACCTCCGTCTTGGATCTTGAACCTCAAGGACTCACCAAGCACACTGGATCATAAGACCTCGAGGTTTTTATTCTTTTAAACTCTAGTCCTGTGAGAAGTCCCCCCCTCCCCAGCGCCCCCCCCCCTTTGTTTCAGTGTTCACTCTTGCTGATTCAACAACATATTCTTTCTTTGGGAGAATTTGAAGTACACTGATTTCAGTCTGTATTTGAGTGAATCATTATTTACTTACTGCATACATATCTGGCAGCAATATGTAGTTTTTGTGTCTTGAAATATTGTATACTATATACATAGATTTATATATACTTGGAGAAAAAAAAAGACTTTTGCCAGCTTCTTTCATATATGTATATATCTTTTATATGAAATATTGAAATCTGCAGTTTTATTAATGATATTCACTTTCTGAAATACTGAAGTAATTGATACATGTTAGATTACCAATCAAAAAAAAAAAAAAAAAAAAGTTCCACTAGATCATATTTAGTGTATATCATCAACACTAATGTAAACTTGCCATTTCATATTGTTGCACAGCTTAACAGTAATGAAAAAAAGAAAAGAAAAGTGAAACTACAATAGTTTAACTAGTTTTATTTCAAAGTCTCATTCCTCCCAAATGTCTCAGAATTTTATCACTGGTTGGTACCTAAATATGGTCTATAATCTAAAACTTTCTCGGTGTGGACGGCGTTTATTCTACTGTGAGTTTTGCCAGCTAGTTAACTGGTGGCAGCAGTATCCCATGTTGGCAAAATGTTATGGTTGAATAAATCGTGTTGGGCTATGGAGTGTGCGTGAGGGAGAGAGAGAGAGTGAGTGAATGAGTGAGTGAATGAGTGAGTGAGTGAGTGAGTGAGTGAGTGATTGATTGTGTATATGGGCATTAGCGTGCATGTATGTGCTGTTTGTGTGTGTGTGTGTGTGTGTGTGTGTGTGTGTGTGTGCATGTATGTGTGTGTGTGTGCATACGCGCGCGCGTGCACATGGACATGTGTTTGCTTGTGTTTATGTGAGTGTATGCATATAGTTTTGATTCTGATAATGATATTCCTTTGTCTTTCCTTATCCTCTATTCCGGCCTGTCACACCTACCATTTCATGTAGTTAATAATTTAACACTTAGAAGTAGTATATCTTTCCACTTTGCAACAGCTGTTGACCTTCATATAATTGATTTCATTTAATTTTTCATCAGCAACCTTACTTTGCTTTTACATCTGACCACCCTGGTTTCACTCTCTCTCTCTCTCTCTCTCTCTCTCTCTCTCTCTCTCTCTCTCTCTCTCTCTCTCTCTCTCTCTCTCTCTTACAAACATGCACACGCATACACAGTAGGCCTATACATGAAGTTTCCATGCATGTGTGTGGGAGTCTGCGATCTGAATTGTGTGATGCGTATGTGTGCTCCTACACTTTCCTTCGGCATTGAGCCATTTCCCCCACATTCACCACTTGTTTGTTTAATTTATTTTTTCTCCTTTTTCTCTCTAAATATTTTTTCTAGTTTTAGTGTTTCATCACTACATTTATCCTCATGTATTATTTTTCTTCATTCTTCCATAAATCCTTGTTATTGTACATCCTTTGAGGTTATTGGTATCACACTTTTCAGTCAATCACTTGCTTGTTTTATATATTCCTGTCCAACCACAGCTGATATATCCAATATTTCACCGATTCATCTACACACGTGTATTTTGAAGCTATCAATACTGCACCAACTCTTTTCTCGTTAGTAGTGTACTCTCTTTTGTTGTGCAAGGATTTGCATTATTGATATATATTTTTTCTTTTTCTAGTTACTGTCACTTTTCATAACACCCACTTCTTATCACGTTCACTTTTATCATTTTCACGTTCAGACTTTGCATCCTTCTTTATTTTTATTTCCTTTTATTCTCATATTATAAATGTTTTGGTCTACTTAGTACATTTTCACTTAGAAATATTTTATACTTTATTCTTTTGATATGTTAATTATGCATATTTTTCATTAACAGTTCTTTTGACTTTTTTAAGGATAATACTTCGGTTTATGGTTGGTTTCCTTAATTCTTCTAAGTTACTTCAACCTTCTGGGCTACAACTATCTGACACCATTTTGTTCTCTTATTTTTCAATCTTCTGATTTGAACACCAGCTGCTGCACGGATCCCACTGCTGCCACCAATTATCTATGTAGTCAGTGTATTTGGTCAGTGTGCGTGTGCGTGTGTCAGGTTGCCGGGGCCTCAGCTCACCTTTCCTTACAGTCGGAAGAACGCAGCCGTCGATTCCTCCGACCGTCGCACCGAAGTCGTTCCGAGGGGCCCCTAGGCAGAGACATTGATGATGATAGTTTTCTTGTGTCTGAGTACAAGACCCAGTTTGCCTGGGTTAGGAGGCCACCCTCCGCCAGGGGCCCTGAGGCAGCACCGCTCTCTCTCTCTCTCTCTCTCTCTCTCTCTCTCTCTCTCTCTCTCTCTCTCTCTCTCTCTCTCTCTCTCTCTTACAAACATGCACACGCATACACAGTAGGCCTATACTTGAAGTTTCCATGCATGTGTGTGGAAGTCTGCGATCTGAATTGTGTGATGCGTATGTGTGCTCCTACACTTTCCTTCGGCATTGAGCCATTTCCCCCACATTCACCACTTGTTTGTTTAATTTATTTTTTCTCCTTTTTTCTCTAAATATTTTTTCTAGTTTTAGTGTTTCATCACTACATTTATCCTCATGTATTATTTTTCTTCATTCTTCCATAAATCCTTGTTATTGTACATCCTTTGAGGTTATTGGTATCACACTTTTCAGTCAATCACTTGCTTGTTTTATATATTCCTGTCCAACCACAGCTGATATATCCAATATTTCACCGATTCATCTACACACGTGTATTTTGAAGCTATCAATACTGCACCAACTCTTTTCTCGTTAGTAGTGTACTCTCTTTTGTTGTGCAAGGATTTGCATTATTGATATATATTTTTTCTTTTTCTAGTTACTGTCACTTTTCATAACACCCACTTCTTATCACGTTCACTTTTATCATTTTCACGTTCAGACTTTGCATCCTTCTTTATTTTTATTTCCTTTTATTCTCATATTATAAATGTTTTGGTCTACTTAGTACATTTTCACTTAGAAATATTTTATACTTTATTCTTTTGATATGTTAATTATGCATATTTTTCATTAACAGTTCTTTTGACTTTTTTAAGGATAATACTTCGGTTTATGGTTGGTTTCCTTAATTCTTCTAAGTTACTTCAACCTTCTGGGCTACAACTATCTGACACCATTTTGTTCTCTTATTTTTCAATCTTCTGATTTGAACACCAGCTGCTGCACGGATCCCACTGCTGCCACCAATTATCTATGTAG